TCTTTAGGATGGAGTAGTAGAGTATGAAGTGTCTAGGAAAGGTCATCCCTCTTTGGGTTCTGCCAAAAGATGCTATTTTGGGAGAGAAAAAAAAAAATACATTCATGTTGGTGTCCAGTTTCAGACAGCCTTATTCAACATTCACAATCAAACACGACTATTAACACAACATAAATTAGCTTATGTAGCTCGCTTGTGCAGAAAACACAACAATAACATATAACTAAAGCTACTCACAACATGCATTTCTGATTCAACATAATAAACAATTGTAAAAAATTGTATTTACAAGATAGATAGATAGATAGATAGATAGATAGATAGATAGATAGACCGTTTTAGTGACTACTTAATGGTTAACTTACCTGTTAATGCGGTTAACGTTACACTGGTGATTTTTTTTTTTTAACGCTGTATAACGCTAATTTGGGAATATTATCTTATAAGGAATGTGTGTGACAAGTTTGCTTAGTATAAGTAAATCCAGTTGTCCACTAAAACGTCTTAACATTACCGCAAACATTTTAAAACCTCGTGGTAGGTTAGCTAGCATGACGCATTACCGTTAGCCGAGCAGCTAGCTAGCTAGCGTCGAGTAACGTTAAGGTAACGTCAACATTACCTGTGTTCTCTTCATCCCCAAATACTAAAACTAATTGTCAAGAAAAAATGGGTTTTTTTAACATGGCTTACTGCGAATAAATAAACTGCGCCGTCGAGAGCCAGTTGAGACACTTTTTACTCACTTGTTTAATTTTTCTCGGTAAGTTTCGTTTGACTTTCTCGCCCGTCGCCGCCACATGACCGGAGGTGCGTTCAAGTGACATTATTGCATTGTAATTAAATGGGCGTAGTTACAACCACGTATTAATCTTTACACTTGTAACTTGTTTTTGAAAAGTGCTCTACAAATAAAGATTATTATTATTATTATTATTATAATCACGGTGCCGACTGGTCATTTTTTATTTTTTATCTTATTTAAGACTTGGACCTCTCCCCCTAAAAGCCTCAAAACAACACTTAAGGGGTCTTTCTTACCTGTAATTATAGATATTAAGTTACAATATATAATCGCCTCTATGTCCCAATTCACCACTTTTAAGGCTACACTTTTCTGTTTTAAGAAAAGGCATTTAGTTTGGGGAAGATTGAGCAAACTTTTAGTTATTAAATATTTTTTTGTTGTTGTTGATTTAATTCATGTGTCTTCTGTATTTTTCCATGCTCCTTTGTATTTTATTTCGGTGTAATGGGACCATCTCTTTTTGGTGATTTCGCACTTTAAAAAAAAACCAACTTCATTTATAAAACTTGTGAAGTTAGTTGAATGTCTTGTCTTGCAGGGTGACAGTTACAAAATTAGCAACAGGCCAAATGCTGGTGAAATATGCAAGTGGCTGATAGATTTCCTTCATTCACCAGCTAAAAAATACAATGGAGTGGAATAATTACTTCTTTCTTTCTTATCTGGATGTTATGGTATCAGCAGTCTTATTTCTGTACAGTATTGGCATATTACAATAATAAATTAAACTATTTATTGCTTTGATAAGGACTGTATGGGCAAGGGTGTTGTTGTCATGGAAACGAGTCCCCCATCAAACAGCGTCCGGGCTCGCAAAACAGCAGCGTGCGACTAAAAGCTGCAGAGCGACAGAGGAGATATTTCACGTAGTTACATCTGTGGTGAGTATACAAGCCGTGCGCCAGTCATAGCGAGTTGAACCACAGTGTGACAGAGTGCCATTTGGAAAATAAAAATAAGAAACACTTGTGAAATAACAGGTAGTAAGTGGCGTTGGTTGTGGGATCTGTCTGTCGCTGCAACGTTGCAAACAAAATGTGACTTCCGTTCACGACTTTCAAATTAAAACTGTTATGCTTGCGTAGCAACGATCCAGGTGTAAGCCTAGGTGTCATTTGCACTGGGGACGTTTTTGTCCCCATCACTTTTTGAAAGTATTTGTTAAAATGGCTCTGATAAATTGCTCGCAGCAAGAAATGTTAATTAACAAATGAGAATGCTTTGAGAAAGGTTTATTTGCACAATAAGAAACATGCAATGCAATGGAAATATCTAATAAATGAATGTGAATTGTCTAAGAAAGTAAAAGAAGTTGCTGATTACTACATTATATTTTTATATTTTGTATTGTCACCTTACACCTGAATTTTGTGTTTCCCTTTATATATATAAAAGACATTTCAACCATGAATTGGTCCGGAAAATGTTTCCAAAATGCAGGAAATTAAGTGTTTAATGCTCAAAATCTTCTGGGGGAGGACCCCAACACCTCCCAAATCATATATTACAGTAGTGAATATTTGTTCTAATATCTTATTGTTTTGTTTACGTTTGGGGAGCAAGTGTATCACTGCACTCCTAATCTGAGCCCTTAAATGTCCCCACCACTTTTCAGCAGAAAGTGACGCCCTTGAATTTAAGCTAATGCAGTTTTTATTATATAGAAAATTCCATATATATCATATTGTGTTGAGGTTTGGGGAAATGCATATAAAACAAATATTGACCCTATAATTAAACATCAGAAAAAAATTATTAGAATAATAAATAAAGTGGGCTTATGTGAATCTACTAACCAATAACTTGTAGGGTCATGCACAGGGAAGATTTTAGATATTGTGGATTCAAAAACACTGAAAATAGTTTATGGAGTTAAAAATAGAAGCCTTCCAGTTTGTATTGAAAAAACGTTTTAAATTAAGAAAGGGAAAGTATAATTTAAAAGGATTGTTCATATTTGAAACACGTAAACTGAGGACCAATGTAAAATACAGACGTGTTTCAGCTTTGGGAGTTACAGTATGGAGTTTCAAAAAAGCCTTAAAATTTAGGTGTATTACAATTTACACTTATTTCATTTTGTTTTCTTTTTTTAGTTTCTTCTTTAGTTTTGTTCTTTCCTGTTGCTGTTATTTTGCATTCTAGTAGGATAGGCAAAAATAAGCCTTGCACTTCAGCCTATTCCTTTTTTCAGTTGTTAATTGTGTGAAATGGATTGATGTAAACATGGATAAGATTTTTGTAAACTGCATATTAACAATAATTGTCATTCTTTGTACAATATAATGTAAACCCGAAATAAACAAATTCATTCTAAATCAATAGGCTACAAAAACACAACATAATGTGGTAATAAAGAAATGTAGGGTTGAGAATATACTTTCATAGATATTAGCTCGACTTTTGTCTGTCTGCTTTTATTTTAAAGGCAAAGTCACCTCACTTCCGGTGTTGTACTGGATAACTTCACAATGATGCAGCCGTACTAGCATCTTCTAAATAAATAATAGCCTGAATAGCAGTATTTATAATGTCCAGTCTTCAACACTCACTCACACAGTGAAAGGTTATGTGGATGAAATGAACACTGACCATTTTCATTAGGCGACCGTATGCAGATAATGATGCTGAATGAGAATCAGAATTTGGGACCTGATCTAGTCTAAATGCTGTATTTGCATCAGAGAACATATGACACACACACACACACACACACACACACACATGGTGTTAGCCTGAATTAGATAAAGCTGACTCATGTTACACATTCTCTCGCAGGCTGCCATGCAGGACAACAGGAATGGGAGAATGCCGTTCCCACCACCCATCTGCAGAGACAGGGTCATCTGGGAATTCCCAAAGGTACATCCGTTTTTATGACAATATATTGTGGTGACAACGGTCTGCTCCAGTTTTATACAGGTCCAGGAAAAGGAAAAAAAAACTCTCTACAGTGGGATCACTGTGGTTAAAATTGTAGCAGCGCCGGTCTAGAGGATGTTATCTTTATTGGAAAAGTGTGACTTCTACCCAACCTTCCCTGTAAACAGTGTCAGGTCACCGCGCGCAGGGTAATGATGGGCTGTTCATTTACATTTACATTTACTCATTTATCCAAAGCGACTTACATTTGAGGAACAACATACAAGCATCAACAGCATCAAATACAGATCTACAACTGACAATACATACTAGTAAGAGCTAATAGAAGTCCTAAAATATTTTAATTGTGTTAAGATTCAACGTCTCAAATGGTTCAATCATAACTTCTGTTTTAGCTTCTTGTTTTTGCTGTTCTTCTTTAGTCATCTACTCATGCTCTGATAGGTCAGGATTGATTCTTTTTCATTTTGTAATGAAGAACTTAAACAAAGAAACTCCTGCACAAAAATAAATTTATTAGCTGGCAATGATCCGGTACTTGACCTTCATTAGGCAAACGGTGTTAACGTAGGGACAAGCCATCTTTTGTAGGAGGAGACTTGTTTGTCTGCGTCAAGTCCAGTACTGTAGATCGAGATTAAGCTTAAATACAACAATAGTATTTAATAGTAGCAATAATATATCGTAACAGAGAGATCTATAATAGATGGATGTAGATTTCTGTATAATGAATGCAATCACAAAAATATATATAACATAATAAAATAGTAATGTAAAAAAAGATTTCTTTGCAACTTTTGACCTGCTCGTCACCCTCTGACGCACCTGTCTCACATTATAGATGTGCGAGGTAGTTTTCTGTTCGTAAAGATAACGTTAAAATGGTCTTGAAATCTTAAATCAACGATGCTGAATCTTGCGAGAACAAGGTAGTACTGATAGTAGGACAGAGAAGTGTTTGGCCCTGTTTTTGCCTACAGTACAGTAACCAGCAAGGTGCTTGTTGACTGCCTGTACATTATTGTATATTTACTGAACATACATTCCCATCCCCCAGAAGATCAATCCCTCTGACTTTGGGGTATGACTTAAACTTTCTTTTATCAATAACAAATAGATGACAGCCATGAAACTTCATTGATCCCTTTACTTTGAATTTTTGAATTGCCGTCACCAAGTCAGCCTTTTAGTTCCTTTAATATTTAGTTTGGTTTATGACTAAATGCCTGCAGAGCTAATTATATCCCATTAGCTTCAGCTGTACTTTGTGTATATTTTAAATTAATACTTGTTACCAATATAACAACTAAACTTAGACGGTGAACATGGTGAACACAGCACCTGCTCAGCTTGTTAGCACATTAGCATGCTTAACGTTTAGCTCCAAGTACCGCCTCACAGATCCTCTAGCATGACTGTGGATTTATATACTGTATTTTGGTTATAACAGGTATGTGATGTGCAGAATAAATGCTGACTGTACACGTTCCTGTTGTTTTTTAGTGCTACATGCCTGAGACCTCCCTGCAGCTGAAGACAGACTGGGACATTCAGGTCAAAGCAGCCTGTAAAGACAGAGCCGCAAGGCATCAGCCGTGAGTCTCCCGCTTTGTGTGCATTCAGCGTTCTTAGTTTTACATCCCATTCAAACCATTTGTATCTAACAAAAAAAAAATCTGCTGTCTTCTTTAAAGGTGGGACCGACAGAAAATGTCAAAAGTGGTGGTTGTCGGAGACCTTAATGTGGGGAAGACCTGCCTCATTAATAGGTACTTTGGCAACATGCTGTCATTGCTCATGTTCTTATTTGTGCTTATGTCATTTTGTCTGCAGTTAGGCTGTTTTATCTGTTTAAATAAATAAATAAATAAAACAAAAGTAGCCAATTAAGACATAATCTATATAACTGATGACAATATCAAAATCAGATCTATTTTACAGTGAAGAAAAGTTCTTATAGGTCATTGGTTTCTAACCTTTTTGGCTTATGACCCCCATCAAGTTTTCCTCTCAGATTGTTATTATTAGAATACTTTTTAGAGGCTTAAAGCTGTAAATATTATAAAGTTATTTACAGGTGCAGGACTAATTTGTGCAGCAGAATTGTTTCCTATCTTGCTGATCATCTCACAAACAATCCGATTTATCGTGTGACTTTTTTGGAGGCTCTCAACCCCAAAATAAACTTCCTCTCACTTACAGCTGCTTTTATTTTCAGCTAAATTGTTAAGTGTTAATGTTTGTATGAACATAAAAAGAATCAACAACTAAGACAAAAGACCTGGGATTAACAGAAATGGAAAAATGTGTCTCTGCTGTGGCCCTGTGGTCCCGTTGCCTGTGGTCTGCCACTGCGAGGACGATCAGCTGTCCTTCCTGTCTCCCTGTAGCACTGTCTTTGGCAGTACAGCATTTTATTGCCCTGGCAACATCGGCAGTCCTCATGCCGCATGCCAAATGCACACTCACGCAGATGGCCGAGGGCATCTTTCTTTTGGTGTCTTCAGAGTCAGCAGAGAAGTCTCTTTAGTGTTCAAAGTGTGACCTTAATTGGCTGCCGTCTGTACGCTGTTAGTGTCTTAACGACTGATCCACAGGTGCATGTTCATTGATTGTTTATGGTTCATTGAATAAGCATTAAAAACATTGTTTACCCACCTATACCATAACGATCTGTAAAGGGTTTTGGATCTTTAAAATACAGCGTCCTGAAGAAGGGCCGTTTCTTTTCTTTTTTGCTGAGTTACATCACCACGAAAAAAAGGAAACTGAATATCAAACAGATCTGTGACTGTTGCGGTGGGTTTTCAGCACCATGGACAAAAACTAAACCAACTTGTTGTGTTTGTGTTGTTTTCAGGTTTTGTAAAGACGTATTTGAAAGAGACTACAAGGCCACCATAGGTGTGGACTTTGAGATCGAGAGGTTTGAGATATCTGGAATACCTTTCTCCTTCAGATGTGAGTAGTTTGATTTTAAATCCTGCATACATGTAACTCTATGTGTTTTTGCCGTTTATGTTAACTTTTTTAAATTTTACAGCTGGGATACTGCTGGGCAGGAAAAATTCAAGTGCATCGCTTCTGCATACTACAGAGGCACTCAGGGTAAGAAGTTGTTGTTATAACTAAAAGATGGTTGTGTGTCTGATGCTAAGTGAGACCATTTTATATGTAAACGAATGATGCTGAAACTTCTTGTTCATCCTTTCCAGTCATTATCACCGTCTTTGACATGGCAGACATTAAGTCCCTAGATCATACACGGTAGGTCTGATTATTACATTACAGCGGGCTTCTTCTACAGTTGTTGAAAGTCTAAAATTCATGCACTTGTATTTAATGGTTCTCTAACTGTCTTCATTTCATTTATTTTATTTATTTGTGCATTTGACAAGGGACAGTGCTCATTAATCAACCAGCCAGAGTTAGCTCAACATGCTAATTTTCATCTGTTGTCCCTGGTCAGTAAATAAAATATCTTCGTTATACAACACAACAGACTTTGAGGACGACTAATTTTCACTCTTGCCACCTAAAAAGAGGCAAAGAAATGTTACTATTTTTAAGTAACTTAATATAGGTTGGGTGGGAATTTAGCGTAAACAGCATTGCTAATCTTGAAAGCTATTTTCACTAAACTATGCTGGTTGGATTAGTTGACAAATCTGCTAGATCTGAATCCATGCCACAAGACAATGCCAACTGAGTGTGATCTTCAATACCAAAAGAAGAACATTTACTCAGCAAACACAGTGACATCTGGTGGCTTGTTAAACCTATTGCAGCCTTTAGTGTTGTAGTCAAGACCAACCAAACCGAGACCAAGTCAAGACCAAGACCAGAGTTTATCGAGACCGAGACAAGACCAAGACTTTTAGGGGCTGAGACCAAGTCGAGACCAAGACCGAGGGAGGGCGAGACCGAGACAAGACCGAGACTTTTAGGGGCTGAGACCAAGTCGAGACCAAGACCGAGGGAGGGCGAGACCGAGTCAAGACCGAGACTTTTAGGGGCTGAGACCAAGTCGAGACCAAGACCGAGGGAGGGCGAGACCGAGACAAGACCGAGACTTTTAGGGGCTGAGACCAAGTCGAGACCAAGACCGAGGGAGGGCGAGACCGAGTCAAGACCGAGACTTTTAGGGGCTGAGACCAAGTCGAGACCGAGACAAGACCGAGACTTTTAGGGGCTGAGACCAAGTCGAGACCAAGACCGAGGGAGGGCGAGACCGAGTCAAGACCGAGACTTTTAGGGGCTGAGACCAAGTCGAGACCAAGTCGAGACCAAGACCGAGGGAGGGCGAGACCGAGTCAAGACCGAGACTTTTAGGGGCTGAGACCAAGTCGAGACCGAGACAAGACCAAGACTTTTAGGGGCTGAGACCAAGTCGAGACCAAGACCGAGGGAGGGCGAGACCGAGTCAAGACCGAGACTTTTAGGGGCTGAGACCAAGTCGAGACCGAGACAAGACCGAGACTTTTAGGGGCTGAGACCAAGTCGAGACCAAGACCGAGGGAGGGCGAGACCGAGTCAAGACCGAGACTTTTAGGGGCTGAGACCAAGTCGAGACCAAGACCGAGGGAGGGCGAGACCGAGTCAAGACCGAGACTTTTAGGGGCTGAGACCAAGTCGAGACCAAGACCGAGGGAGGGCGAGACCGAGACAAGACCGAGACTTTTAGGGGCTGAGACCAAGTCGAGACCAAGACCGAGGGAGGGCGAGACCGAGTCAAGACCGAGACTTTTAGGGGCTGAGACCAAGTCGAGACCAAGACCGAGGGAGGGCGAGACCGAGACAAGACCGAGACTTTTAGGGGCTGAGACCAAGTCGAGACCAAGACCGAGGGAGGGCGAGACCGAGTCAAGACCGAGACTTTTAGGGGCTGAGACCAAGTCGAGACCAAGACCGAGGGAGGGCGAGACCGAGTCAAGACCGAGACTTTTAGGGGCTGAGACCAAGTCGAGACCAAGACCGAGGGAGGGCGAGACCGAGTCAAGACCGAGACTTTTAGGGGCTGAGACCAAGTCGAGACCAAGACCGAGGGAGGGCGAGACCGAGACAAGACCGAGACTTTTAGGGGCTGAGACCAAGTCGAGACCAAGACCGAGGGAGGGCGAGACCGAGACAAGACCGAGACTTTTAGGGGCTGAGACCAAGTCGAGACCAAGACCGAGGGAGGGCGAGACCGAGACAAGACCGAGACTTTTAGGGGCTGAGACCAAGTCGAGACCAAGACCGAGGGAGGGCGAGACCGAGTCAAGACCGAGACTTTTAGGGGCTGAGACCAAGTCGAGACCAAGACCGAGGGAGGGCGAGACCGAGTCAAGACCGAGACTTTTAGGGGCTGAGACCAAGTCGAGACCAAGACCGAGGGAGGGTGAGACCGAGTCAAGACCAAGAACAGGGCGGTCGTTAACGGGAACAACACATTTTTAATTAGCTTTATTGGTTGCATTAGAAACAATACGTTTTACATCCAATCAAACAAATAATTCAGACAACGCAAAAGCAATTTACTGATATGCCCAAAGTGATGGTCTTGAAATAAAATTCTGAGTCCTCAATGACCGAGACCGAGTCCAAAGCAGTCGATTCCCGAGACGAGACCAAGACCATCAAAAAGTGGTCTTAAGACCGGTCTCGAGCACTACAACACTAGCAGCCCTTCAAGACTGGGGCGACAGACAGCAACCAAGTCTGAAGACCTCAGAACTAGAGTGATGAATTCTAGGTACAATGTCATGTATAAGTCAGAGATCTTTAGCCTGATAATCAGACTGTCTTTGCTGACCAAACTGGAGATGTCAGTGTTGATTCAGAGATCTGGAACCAGACTATTATTATTATTATATTATTATTATTATTATTATTATTATTATTATTATTATATACTATTATACATATTTCAACTGTTGGTCTTAATCACATTCCGGAAACAGCAAAATTTAGCTTTTTGAATCAGCAACTATGCTTAAAAGGCAAAGGAAATTTTACTGTATATGTACAGTAAAATTCTAATATTCTAATATCAGCTGCAAGTGTTGCACCGTGCACAATGTAAAACCTTTTTGTTTTGTTTTCATAGCCAGTGGTTGGACGAGGCCTTGAGAGAAAATGAGCCTGACTCCTGTTCCATCTTCTTGGTTGGCGCTAAGAGTGACCTGCTGGTGAGTGTATTTTATATTATATACAGAATATATGTGTGTATATATTTTTTTTTATATACACAGTTTTCTTCTAGTACTAAACTGTATTGTTCTGAAGCCCTTAGACGAAAGGCAGAGGACAGAAAAAGATGCCATCAGGATAGCAACAGAAATGCATGCAGAGTTTTGGGCTGTTTCGGCTAAAACAGGTAAAATCAAGAGCTCACACTCGTGCTGTATCGTATGTTAAGATAACATATATATACAATAATGACGATTCACAGCTGTATCTTTCACTTCTTGTTAACTGCCTGAATGAAATAAAAATCTGGTTGTAATATAATCTACTCAAAGTCAACAGCAGAACAGAGCTAGTGCTAATTGCTCCAGAGGCAAGGCAAGTTTATTTGTTTAGCACATTTAAGCAACAAGGCAATTCAAAGTGCTTTACATAAAACTTAAAAGCAACATAGGGAAATATAAAAATAACAATATACAATTAAAAAAAAGAGTCAAATAGAAAATAAAAACAGGGTTAATTTTTATTTGTCACTGATTATTCATAACTCAAGTCTAATGAGTTACGAATAATCAGGCTTTTCACCTTCCATTGTTTTGCTTTTTTTAGTTCCCATCTCTCTCACCAGTCAAACCTAGTACAATGTTTATTATATTACTTACTTATTCACAGTTGTCACTGTGAATCCAGATTGGTTGCGCTACAATCTCGTTAAATGCAGTCAAAACAGCAGAGAAAAAAACCTTCAGCTCTACTCAGCCCTGCCAGGACGCACCAGACAGCGGCGAACTATACTAGAGATGCCCTGTTAAGACTTCTGAGAGAGGAGGAACCGACTTAAAAGTTTCAAAAAGCAAGAAATCTTACCCTGAAAAGCAGAACAGAGAAAGTTACAGTGTAAAATGTTAATAAAAGAATTAAATGGAAAATAAAAACAGGTAATCAGGCTTTTCACCTTCCATTGTTTTGCATTTTTGATTCCCCATCTTCTTTATCGTACGAAATGTATTCCCTCTTATTCGCAATCGTCACAGTTATCCCAGATTTAAGCAGTCAAAACAGCGGAGAAAAGGGGGTCGGAGATCTCTCACAACCTGGGTGTCATTTTGGACTCCACCGTCTCATTTTAGTCAAACTCATCACTAAATCTGCCTTCTAACACCTCAAGAACATCTCCAGACTCTGGCCTTCACTCTCGAACTCTCTGGCAGAGTCACTTCATACATCCTGCTTGGCCTTCTGCAGTGGTGTCCAGTTCGGGGCACCGAGCAAAGTCCTGGACAGACTCCAATATGTGCAGAACTCGTGTGAGGGGGTTAAGCTCACACCAGGCCCTGGCACCACATCAACCCAATCCTTACTCACCTTCACTGGCTCCCATACTCAAGTCAACATCAACGCATCAACTGCAAAATCCTCCTCCTCACCTATAAATTCCTCCATGCCATTGCCCCCCAGTACCTACTGGACCTTTTCCCATCCCTACACCTAATCCCAGAATCTGTGGACTTTGGGGACAGAGCCTTCAGCGTCGTAGCCCCCACCCTTTGAGACTCCATCCCTTCAGAGATCTGCAACGCTCCCTTTCTGGAGTCTTAAAAAAAAACAAAAACAAAAAACATGCTAAACCGCACCTGTTTACTGAGGCCTGTATTTTGTATGTGCATGTGTTTTTTTATGTGTAATGTGTAAAGCGACATTGGGTCCCTTGAAATACGCTATAGAAATATTAAGTTATTATTAAAATAAACTTAATAATAATAAACTTTTTCCTATTTCCAGGGGAGAATGTGCAGGGGTTTTTCTTCAGGGTGGCAGCTTTGTCCTTTGAGAAGTGCATTCTTAATGACATGGAGAATGGGATGCCTGTTAGCATCGGACATGGAAATAGCATCAGTAAGTAATGAGCGAACTCCTAATGCGCCAACAAGCAAAGATGTTGATACTGGAAACGTGTAAACAAGTATAAAATAAATGTTTGTCTTGACAGAATCCGATGGTGCCAACCTGGAGGAGCGTGCACCCCGAGACACGAAGGGAAGCTGCTGCTGATGAAAAGAGGAAAGCGTAACCAAACAGAGGCTCTATTCTGAGCTTAAAGTGACTGACCATGTTCCACTGGACTGAAATTTGTCTTAGAACATGTTCCATTAGCTCATCAAAACTGCCATGTATTCTGACAGTTGGCCTGAAAACCAGTTGTTATTAGATTAAATCTGCCAATAATGGATTGCTGATACTAAATCTTCAGTAGTGCCTGGACCAGACTCATTTGGGACAGGCAATTGTTGCCTCCTGGTAAAAGCCTTGTATAGATGCTTTAGATTGTTTTTAGTTTGTTTCTTCATACAGTAACATTGTGGAATATATCTCAGCCATTATTATGGGTTGTATACAGATACATTTTTAGTTAATTTAAGAAAGGAAACAAAATGTTTATGTTTACTTTCAGGTAATAAAAGTGTAAATTGACTATAAACTCAACATATATAATGGCCACAGCATTTTGATTCAATGGAATGAACAGCTTATGTTAGCCGCTGCATATTTATGGGACCAGTATTTTTGTCAAACTCTAATAAAGTGGTTTACTGAACTTTTCTTTCCTATTCATTTTCAAAAATGTGAAAAATGGCTGTGCAAGAACGCTCTCTCCAATCTCCCTTGATCATACTTCCATACTAAAGTCAGACTTTTACTTGTAATGGAGTATTTTCTCAGTGTAATATTACTACTTTTACGTAAGTAAAGGACTTGAATAATTCTCCCCCACTACACATATGTACCTTAAAGAATTTGTGTAACACGTTTGTCTTTTTATCTAAAAGAAGCGAAGATGGGGGTTAGAGGGGTGAGTCCTCTTGCTTCCGTAATACACTCTCTGGACAACCGCGAACCAATCAAATCACAGCATTCATTGTTTTGGAGGAAGTACGACCAGTGTGAGCGAGCTAGTTAGCTAGCAAACTTGCTTTCTATTTTTCCACCCTCAAAACGGTGGTTTTAAAACTTATTTCAACTCTATGGATGTGGTTTCGTTTCAGGTAGTTAACTGTTGGCAAGCCGCCATAAAACTAAAAGAAGAATGATAAGTAGTTAACGTTAGTTCACTGGCTGTCAATTGTTTAGAATTAGCCACATGCTAGGTTAGCATACATCCCAGGGCAGTTTGAGCTGTTGGGGAGAGACTGCTGAGGTATATATATACATTTATATACCATAATGTATACCATAATGCGTAATGTATATAAATATATAGGCCTGAATGTTTTGTGTGTCTGTGTTTCTGAAGGTAACGTTACTGCTTTAAAAAAGCCTGGCTGGAAACTTCAGTAAATCAGTTTCAGCTACTTTTATTTCACTCAGAAGCCAACTTTCAGATTAGTTTTCTTAGCTCATCACTTTTCTACATAGACTTGTAACTTTACACATATCAACATGTAGAAGACAAAGAGTAAATAATATTAAATGAATGAAGTATATCGCAGTATTTGGCCTGAAAGCCAGTTGTTATTGGATTGAAAACGCCAATAATGGGAATTTTGTTAAGCTTTAAAATACAGAACAAATACATACCAAGGCATATATATTAGTTTGCTTTCAAATACTCTGTTGCAAGTAAATGTATGCAAGTATAATGTGGAAAATATACTTTAAGTATTAAAAGTAAAAGTACTCAATGCAGAAAAATATTCCCTGTGACTGTTAGACCAGTTGCCTATATATTATATCAAGATTATCATTATTCCTCTTATGTAAAAGCACAACTTTACTGTTGAAGTTGTTGAGCTCGAGCTCATGAACTATTTTGTATCGGAGCGCAACCAATTATTTTCATTATGAATTAATCTAATAATTTTTTCCATTTATCGATTGTTTGTAAAAAAAATAAAAAAATAAAAAAATAAATCTGAAAATAGTGAGAAATGCCCTCACAATTCACCTGGAGTCCAAAGTGATGCCTTCATAATGCTTTGTTTTGTTAAAACCAACAGTCCAAACCTAAACATCATTAACAAACATTTAAATAAATTAAATAATTAAAAGGAAAAGCAGCAAATCTTCACATGTGAAGCTGAAAACATGAAATGTTTGTGAAAAATGACGATTTAAATAGTTGCCAATTAATCGTATGTCAACAGACTAATCGTTTTACCTGTGCTTGTATAAACTGTTGACGAGTATAATTTATAACAAAACATCCTATATTTTAGTCTTTTAGTATGTTTTGTGTGTAAAAATCTTAATTTGCAAAGTAACTAGTAACTAAAGCTGTCAGATAAATGTAGTGAAGTAAAAGTACAATATCTCCCTCTGAGATGTGGTGGAGTAGAAGTAGAAAGTGGCATGAAAATACTCAAATACCTCAAATTAAAGTAAATGTACTGTCCACCACTGTGCAACTTTGGCAAGTCTCAAATTAACCAAAGGTTTTGTTTCCTCAGCTGGTTCATTATGAAGACCAATAAGTCATACAAGCTTGTGCTGCACAAGAAAGGTTTTGGTGGAAGTGGTAAGCAAGAACTTAAAATTCTTGTATCCTAAATAAATGTTTCTCGTTTGAAAGTCATCAAATTAACTTTTCTTTTCAGCAGACGATGAGTTGGTTGTCAACCCAAAGGTTTTCCCTCAAGTCAGTCTGAGGGATATAATCGAGATCGCACACCCGACAGATGAATACAGGTCAGCTCGCATTATGGGTGATGTATTTTACATATTGTTTCATTACTGAGCCTATAATCTGGTATTGTCTCTTTTGAAATCCCCAGTCCTCTCCTGCTGCAGGTGAAGAGCCTAAAAGAGGACCTTCAGAAAGGTAAATATGTTAGGACACTGTATGCAGCAGCATGATGCTATATTGATATTGATGTCCTGATAAACAGTTGTGATCTATCTAACCTGAATATATTTGGGTGCTGACGTGTTGGTTGGTTAAGACAAGCAATCAGAAGACATCACCAACTGTGATAGTCCTTTTCATTGTCATTTTATAGACCAAACATTAATTGATGAATTGAGAAAGTATTTGGCGGATTAATAATCTGTAATAATGAAAATTACTATCTGTTGCAGTTACAAAGTGATTTACATGCTTGAATAAAAATTAAAACATTTCAAAGCAGATATTTTAAAGAGAGATTAAATCAATACAGTTAAATGGACAAATAGGACAAGCTAGAAATGGAAGGATGCACTAAAGTTAAGTATGATTTTAGAAGTGATTTAAAGATGTCATAGATCCTGCAAGCTTCAGGTTGTCAGGAAGGGCGTTCCAGAGCCGAGGGGCTCTGCCTGCAAACAGCCCGGTCACCTTTAGTCTCGGGCCGGGACTGCCTGTGGATCTGAGATTGCACTCTGGCTCATAGAGGAGCATCAATTCAGCAATGCAGCTAGGAGCATAACCACGAAGTGCTTTAAAAGTGATCGATAAAACCTTAAAATCAATTTTAAAACAAGTTGCCTGTGAAGGGAGGCTAAAACAGGACTGATGCGATCTTGTCTTCGTGTGTTAGTTAAATGTCGAGCGGCTGTGTTTTGCACTAGCTGAAGTCGTGGGGTAGTTTTTTGTCTCCGTCCTGAATACTCTGAATTACAATAATCCAGCCTAGATGAAACAAAAGCCTGGATGACTGACGGCTGCACATAGTGGTGTTTATTAAATTATAGGGTGTTTCTGTTATTTTGTCCACCTCATATACACAACACACAGACAAGTACATTGTAATATTCAGTCCATATATACTAGAAAATGAAACGGTTTATGATAGTTACCTTGCCCGTTAACTACAAGTGATGGACTTTTTGTTCAGAGACAATCAGTGTGGACCAGACTGTAGCACAAGCCTTCAAACTACGAGCCTACCAGGATGTCATTGTAAACATCGTCAACCCAAAGGTATGTTCACCGTGACCTCCTCTGCGTCTCCATCGTTTGTCATTCGAACAGAATCTCGCATCATCGTTGTTTTTTTTCTCTCTTGGCAGGATGTAACACTGGACCTGGTGGAGCTGACTTTCAAGGACCAGTACATCGGCAGAGGAGACATGTGGAGACTAAAGAAGAGCTTGGTAGGGCATGTGAAGGTGTGCGGTGTATAGTTATGTTATTTACACACATTTACGTGAGGATTTAATTGTTGCAATCTATTTTTCCCAGGTCAGCACATGTGCATATGTGACACAGAAAGTGGAGTTTGCAGGAATCAGGTACAAAGTATACGTTTCATTCTCCACACCCACTTTACGTAAATGCATTTAAAGTGACTTAAATGTGGAATAAACGTACACTGATTGAGCAGCACTGAAAGCAGCCAACAAACAGTACAGTGAGAAAAAAGGTAAAGGGGACAGTTATGGGGCTGAAACTTTATATATCCAAAGATGAGAGGCAAAAATTAAACCTTATTTATCATAGCCGTCGCTTGCCTTGTCTTTACGTACACAGTGGTGTTGATGACTGCAGGCTGTAGGATTTTTCTGTCACTACATTAGGTCTGACCCCTAATAGTCAAAGTTCGATGCTTCGATGGGCGGAGCCTGATTCGACTATCAATCTCACAGTCGAAGCGAAACAAGGATTGTGCCATTTTGTTGATATGGGGGTGCTCAACGTCTGACTTTACATAGAACCACCGGTTTTCTCCCAATATGTTAATATGCTGCCTATTACAATACACATTTCAACATACAATGCTGTAAATAAATCACCGTTGATGAACCACACAAAGAATATTACATCGTTTTTAAATAGTAAGTCAAATAATAATGTGAAGTTGTTGGCTGCACAGCATGCACGCAAAACTCTGCACAAGACCGGTGAATGGCAGGCGAGCAGAGAGAAAAGGGTCAACAATAAGACTCAGTGTAGCTGGAAATGTACAGAGTAAGTTACGCTTGCAATCGCCGCACACAAACGCAGCACATGAATCGACCATCATTCCACTATAGGCAAGACGTGACAATTCTGATTCGACTATGTAGATCCTTAGTCTGGGACAGCCCTGCGCTACATGCATGCTTACCACATTTTTCATTCTCCAGAGCCCAGGCCAGTGAACTCTGGGTGAAGGGAGAGAAAGTGACATGCGGGTACATCAGTGAAGACACAAGGGTAAGAGCAGTTTGAAAAGCAGAGGCTGAAATGCACTGACAACACAGACACCAAATCCATATAACTCAAGTATTCACTATCTATCGTGGCTTTTTTACTACGACCAAATAGACAGTAAAAGTCCACTAATCTGCAAGTAGTCTATCTTAGCCTGACTTATGGCCACTTAACTTGGGTCCACATATCCCTAATCCACGAGTAACCAATGTACTTAAAAATACACAAGAGTCAAGGAAAGGTTTGAGTGAACCTTATAATCGAGATTTTACAAAGGACCTGGTCTAAACTACGCTTGTTTTCTCATTTCTTAAAACTTTTAAAACGTTTTGATTGCATACTGATATTAAAAGATCATACGTGAGCTGATACACGTGCGCCTGGCTTCTTTTATAATCTTGCTGTAAATAGTCACTATAGCGTTTGTTTATGCTAGAGTCATTTGTCGTGGAAATTGTATCATGTTGGTGAGGGATTAAGCAAATAAT